CCTTCGGTTTCTTCTACGTCGCTGTATGCGGTGTCGTAGATGCTGGGTACTCTGTAAGGGGCAGTGGTAGCGCGTTTTGCTGGCCTTCCTGCGTGAGTTGTTTTTCTGACCTCTCTGGGCGTCCTCGGAACCTCTTTGGGAACCTCTTGGGGCATTGTGAAGGTCGCTCGGGAACGTCTCTCTCAGGAAACTCAAAAAGTCTGTCTGTGTTCCCCCTCGCGGGTTACCCCTTGGAATTCTCTTGAAAATCTCTTGGGCTGCGTGGGGGCCTTCGACGCCGTCAAAGACTGATGACCAGAAAACGGAGAACAAAACATAAAACACGTAAATCGGACAACGAAAACCAACAAACGGAAAAAAAACAACGGAAACAATAAATCTGAAACCAAACAACGAAAACCAAAAAACATAACCAACAACTGGAAAACGAAGAACCGAAACCGGAAAACGAAAAACGGAAACCGGAAAACGGAAACCGGAAACTGGAAAATAGACACTGCAAACCGGAACACGCAAACTGGAAACTGGAAAACAAAAACAAAAAACACAAAATGGAAGACAAACAACGGAAACCATGACCGGAAAACGGCTACTGGAACCCGGAAACCGGCAACCGGAAAACGGAAAAAAGAAATCGGAACACGGAGACTGGACTCTGGAAAACGGAGACCGGAATTCTGTTTTGCGATCGGGTGTTCCGTTTTCCGTTTCCGTTCTGGTCCAGCGCCCCCGCTGACCGGAACTATTTGCGGAAGAGTTCTGCTTGGTGCCGTCTCTGTCTATTTTCTGGGGCATGAACACACACACACACACTACGGTCGCATCTGTATCGGTAATTTTAAACGTCGGCGTCGGATTCACAATTTCCCTCGTTGCATCACCCATGTCTGTCTGTCTGTTTCACCCTGGGGAACATCATCGCATCATAGAACATCCCTTCTGGATCCAAGCTGGCGTGGTAGCGGGATGTTCTAGGGTCACGAGTTTGAGTAGGGCTTTTGAGCTGGTCGCTTTGACAGGATTCCCTTGCAAGTGGGCACTGACTTTGATGCCTACGATCGTTGACGATGCCAACCTTTCCAGGACTGGAGCCCCTCGTGATGTGGTGGACGGCCTAGTTTCCAGTGCTAAGGGCCTCCATCACGCCATCATTGAGGTGTCGTGCTGCTCGCTGGCCATGTGCAAGGTTGGTCTGGTCTGCAGCAGCAAGTGGGTCGCTGAGCAGCTTGAGCTGCAGCTTGGCGAACTCGCGGGTTTCGCTTGCCCCTCGATTCGATGGTAAATCTGGGTGTGGACTACACTACAGGCCAAGCTGTTCGGGCCAGGGGTGCGGGCAAAGGCCATTACAGCACATTCAAATAGCGAATGGCGTCGGCTCGTAGGAAGACTCGTAGGCTGGTCAAGCATCGGGAGGTCCTGGGTCGTAAAACCATTCGGAATTACACTGCTGGTCCCCTTGCTAGTGGCACCCAGGGTGCGGATGTTTTCGGCGTCAGCGATTCCGAGCTGCAATTCTGTCGGTCCCACGTTATGTCCACGACAACTCCCGAATCGCAACGCCGTTCGCTCACAGACATTTCCCTTCTGGAGGGGGACCCGCCGTAGCGAAGCTGTGTACAGTCGAGGCGTTGACCTAAGGAACCCTAAATAAGGAACGAGGCCCCTTTTTCCATGAGTTGAACTTCGATTTCGTATCGAAAACCTAAGGGAAATCCAAGGCAAGCTGCGAAACAATTAAGGAACACGGAGCCCCTCCCCAACGAAAAGGGTTCCTTCTTCAGGGCCCCGACTGTATTACGCCCGTGGTGAAATATTCTGCGGAACTCTGGCTGACTCAGACCAGGCTGTTCCCAGGGCCCCTGGCCTTCTGGACTTCTCAGCGCGAGGCATGGGCCTCCCCTTTCAGGAGGGGCGGCTGGTCGCGGGCCAGGGCCGCTGGCTCGCCCGGCGCTCTGCGTGTGACCCTTTCGGACGAGCTGGGCTGGGCCAGGAACGCTTTTTTGGAGCGCGCTGATGACCGAGGCCGCACACTCGATCCGCTCGCCCCGTCTCCGAAGCTGGTCAGTCGACGTGGGGCGCTGGAAAAAGGCTTGTGGTCCTGAGTTTTGGGGTCCCCTATAGGCTCTGCTGGGATACAGCTCGGGAGAAGCTGCGCTCCAGGAAGGTCTCGTACCAGGACAAGTCCACCAGGGGGACGCTGGCCAGCAGCGCGATCTGGACCATACAGGCCGCAGTCGATGCTGGATATTATGTGCTTGTCGAGTGCGCGCTGTGCGGGGCGCACGCTGGCACTCTCTGGAAGCGGCTGTGGAAGCGCAAGGCTTGCGAGGATCTCAGGTCTCATATTGTTCCCGAAGATATTCTTGCTCTGGCCTTGGACACCAATGCTGAATAGTATGAACTCACCATGCTCGCGCACGGGGCCTTCCGCGGACGATGCGGTGCATGTCGATTGGGCCGTCGAGGAAGCCACTGCCCCTGGGAGCTCCGACCCCATTCCCGCTCATCCTGACCTCGGGCTCTGGGGGCACGTGCTCATCTCGGCTACGCGCAAGAGTGACCCCAGGCAAGAGCGCCCTTCGGTGCGCGGTCCAAAAGGGGGGGGGGCTCTCTGGGGACACCACCAGGCGCGCAAGCCGCTGCCACCGCATCGCATTCCGCGATCGGGGGTTCCCACTGTGCCCGCACCAACGGTCACCCCCGAAGGGTCACTCTCACGTGCGGTCGATTATGGATGGCAACTGCTCCTATCACCCGGTGATCGAGCTTTCCCGTTGGGTTTGGTGCCTCGCCATGGCGGGCGAGAACGCCAACCCGTTGTGCGAAATGACCCTGCCCGCGTGGGCCCCCTCTCCCCCCAGACTCCTCCGGCGACCGAGCCAGGGGGGTCTGGCGGCCTGCAGCTTGTGCTCAGCAGCTGGGGCCTCCTGCTTCAGCGACTGCAGGGATGTGGTGGGTGTGTTTTCTCCAGTCGACCACACGCAAGAGTGACCCTGGGTAAGAGTAGCCTTTGGGTGCGTGGCTTCTTTTTGGGGGCCGCGGGGGGACCACACACAAGTTCGCAAGACGCCACTGCCGCCTAGCGTTCGGCGATCCAGGGGCCCCAAGCGGACCGCACCGAAGGTCACTCTTACGTGTGGTCGGTCAAGGCCCAGGGAGGATTCTACCCCCCAGGCTCCAAGAGCCTGGCCTGCTGATCCATGGAGTCTCGGGTGCAGGACCTAAGTCGTGCAGTCCTTGGGAGGCTGATGCTCAGAGAGACTTGGATGAGCAAGGGATCTCTCAGCGTGAGGGATTCACCAGGCGAGGCAATTATTTCGCTGATGTGGGTGCTGAGCGTGCTGTCGACTGGCACCTCAATTTCTCGGCCGATGAAATGGCCAGCGTGGAGCCCAAGGTCAGGATTGCAATGCAGGTCATGGACTCCGCGGCGGCCGTTCTTCCGCTCTTTCCTCGTGTGGAGTTTGGGGTTTTGGAGCGGGTTCATCCTCCTCCAGCTCCTCCTTCTGTGAAGCGTGACCTACATCAGTGGGACTTTATGTTAAGCTTTTGCCGCTGCCGTGTGTGCCTCAAGGGAAAGACGAGCTCCTCGTGTCTAGCCGAGGGCTCGTTGTAAAGGACACTCCCGTTTGGACAATGCTGTCTTGGGTTGGCTTCATCACCGCGTGAGTGCGTTTGAGAGTAGCGATCATGCGCACGTCTTTTGTTTGCGTTGTCGCTGTTACTCGTCGGGGGCTTAGGTGTGCAACTTGGGTAAGTTATGTAAGCCCCCGGCAGTCACTGGCAACACACTCTGGAACAACATCAGACAGGAGAGGCATCCTGATAAAACAAGCATGACACAAACATGACTCTCGATCTGGATCAGGTCAAGAGTTTGATTTCAATCATTTTCTAACGGCTGCAATTTGGGCCTCCTTTCTGTAGCTCGTTTGAGGCGCCGTGGATGGCAACAAAAAGAGAACGATGTGGGCCACAGTTGGCCGGGAACAGAGAGGACCGAGGTGTGCAACGACGCAGGGACATCGCCTATTAAGCGGGGCCTGACTACATGTTTTGCGTTTCCCCGAGACAAACCCACGGTTCTTGTGGGGGGCCAGCGGTTGCATTGATACAATGACCCGCGAAGCGAACCGCCAGACCCCAGCCACTGCCTGGATCTGGCCAGGGAGGACGAGGGAGGAGGAGGAGGAGGAGGAGGAGGAGGAGGAGGAGGAGGAGGAGGAGGAGGAGGAGGAAGAGGAGGAGAAGGAGGAGGGAGGAGGGAGGAGGAGGAGGAGGAGGAGGAGGAGGAGGAGAGGAGGAGAAGGAGGTGAGACGAGGACGGAGGAGGGAGGAGGAGGAGGAGGAGGATGAGGAGGAAGAGGAAGGATAGGAAGAGGAAGGGAGGAGAGGAGGAGGAGGAGGAGGAGGAGGAGGAGGAGGAGGAGGAGGAGGGGAGGAGGAGGAGGAGGAGGAGGAGGAGGAGGAGGAGGGGGAGGGGGAGGAGGAGGAGAGGGATGAGGAGGAGAAAGACGAGGAGGAGGAGGAGGAGGAGGAGGAGAAGGAGGAGGAGGAGGAGGAGGAGGAGGAGGAGGAGGAGGAGGAGGAGGAGGAGGAGGAGGAGGAGGAGGAGGAGGAGGAGAGGAGGAGGAGGAGGAGCGGATGACCTAGACGCACTGGCGCCGCGCCGACGCGCCCAGCGCCCCGCCGCGGCTGGCGCGACAACGAAGACATGTTGAGGGCGCTGCGGCGCGCCGCGGCAGCGGGGGCCGAGGCCGAAGCGACGCCTCGCCGCGGGCGCAGCGTCGCTCCGCCGCGCGCGCCGGCCTTCGGCGACGACGGCCGTCGGCGAACCTGCCGCGGGTGACTTCTGCCGTCGGCGCGTGGCCTTCGGCCTTAGGTTCCGCGGCCGCGACGGCCGGCCAAAGCGTTTCGCTTTCGGCCTTCGCGGCCGCGGCCGAATCGCCGCGGGGTCGGGCGTTGGCCGGCCGGGCGGCGGCGCGGCGGCGGCCGCGGGCCTGCGAACATCAGCGGCCGCAGCAGCGCGCGGCCGCTGTACAGGGCGGCGGTGTAGCCCGCGGGGCCGCTCCCAACCACCACCATGCGCCTTTCCGCGCGCTGGGTCGGTCGCCGCCATCGTCCCAGATCTCCGAAATTTGTTATATGTTGTTTGGTTTTGTCGTCGTTTGCGTTTCTGATACAAAAATGTTGGCCAACGTGGGCCCCAAACCGTGTGCTTCTAGCAATCCATGTTGCGCAACCCATGATGTGCAGTCTAGATTGTGCCCTATTGGTGCAATATGCGTGGTGCAGTTTCTGTGCTGCAATACACCTCGATTTATGTACGTATGTATGTAGGTCGGTACACATGTGAATATGTTTGCATGACACGTTATATGTATGTATGCATGTCGATATTCATGCATGCGTGCATACATATGCACGGATGTACATGTATGCGTACATACATATATATACATATATATATACACGTATACATGTATATATATATACATATATAGATATACCTATATATTTGTATACATAGGTGTGTGTGGTTCGCAGTTTATGTGTTTCACTAGACGCGAAGTAATATGTGCGATGCAATCGGTGTTGCGATATATACATATATACACATATATATATATATATAGATGTGTCTATATGTATGGTGTACATTGTATGTTGTGCTTTCTAGGCTGTACATTTTATGGTGTGCAATATGTATGTTGTGCAACCTATGTGCTGAATCCATGTTGTGAAATCTATGTGGGGCAACCGATGCGGTGCAACCTATGCTGTGCAATCTATGTGGTGCAATGAATTTCTGTTCGCAATTCGTTGTCTATTCCATTGCTCGCGCAAGAATTCCACTCACCCACCCGCAAATTGGTTTACAAACCTCATGCGGCGGCGATTGCGATGACTGCTTGGCGCTGGCTGGTGCATCTTTGCGGCCGCGCTAGCCCGCGCATGCTCGTGCGCGCAGCGGCCAGCTAGTTTGGCGCGACCGACGCGAACGCGGTGGCGCTGACCGCTCGGCACCACCGGGCACTGCGAGCTGGCGACTCGGGAAGGCGCGGTATCATGGCAACGCCGGCAACAGTAGACACGATGATGATAGTAGCGATGCTGGCGACGATGCTGGCAGCGACGACGGGGCAGCCAGTGACGGCGCCGACGCTAATCACGCCGACGACGATGACGGCGTCTTCGCGTCGGTGATGAAGGTTTTGAAAGGAATTCGAAATGCGCGCGCGGCAGACGCGCGAGAGTGGCTCGCGTGGTATTATTTGAGACGGATCGTGCCACCCCAGCACGCGCGCAAAGGCGTTCACACGATTTCGACATGCGCGCGAGCGACGCCAGCTAGATAGCATTTATGCCAATGTTGAAAAACGTATGGTTTTCTTCAGAATTCGCAAGAGCGCGCACACTTCTGTTGAACATCCGTGTTGCGACACTTTTTTTTCATATATATATATATAAACCCAAATATGTCTGACAATGACGGTTTTTGAAGGATTTCGGCATGCACGCGCGTGCACTTCGTCTCGTTATTTGCACAGGATTCTGGCGACGGCACGAGCGCAAAGGCGTTCCAACGATTTCGACATGCGCGCGCGAAACCCATTTGGTAGTATTTTATAAAACATCTTGAAACACCTTAAGAGCGCGCATTTTTGTTTGTTTGTTTTCATTTCTTTTTCTTTTGCGGTTCGTTCGCGATTGAAAACATTACTCCCCCCTTTGTTGTTTTCTTTTTTGTATACTATCATTTTCTGTAAAAAATATTAATATTGAATTATATTGTATTACTACTGTTTATATATGTCTACATACATACATATATATGTATATGTATATGTATATGTATATGTATATGTATATGTATATGTATATGTATATGTATATGTATATATGTATGTATGTATGTATGTATGTATGTGTCTATATGTATATATATATATGTGTATATGTATATATACATATGTATTACTTTGATGTTTTTTGGACACTCGATTTTGACATCTTTCTGAAACCGACGGTTTTTGAAGGATTTTGGCATGCGCGCGCGACGACGCGCGCGTGTGCACGTCGATCAGTTTTTTTTTGTAAGGGACTCTTGAAACCTTATGACTCTTGAAGAACAAGTGCGCCCGCATTGTATTTTTTTGCGAAGGGACCGACTGGGAACCGATACCAGCCTGGCGGCTGGGATAATATGAATTTACAGGTCGGATGGACATTGGGTCAGAATCCTATGTGTTTTGCTTCGGTTCCCCGTGCGTCTTTAGCCCCGGGGGGGGAGCGTGGTAAAACCTATTTTCTTCCTCAATCAGAGCTTGCCTCTGTAGGGGTCCTAGCGGATTCATGTGGCTAGGTTAAGTTTGCCGCCGATTTTCGCCGTATGCGCGAATGCCCGGGTGCCCGGGGGTGCCTGGGTGCCCGGGTGCCCGGGTGCCTGGGCGTGCCTGGGGGTGCCCGGGTGCCCGGGCGTGCCCGGGGGTGCCTGGGGGTGCCCTATAGCCCTATATACCAATAGCCCTATAGCCCTACAACTCTATAGCCCTATAGCTCTGTAGCCATATAGCTCTATAGCCCTATCGCCCCCTAGCCCTATAGCCCTGAATGGGTTTTTTCCCGGTATCATGCAAAACAAGAGAATCTATGTGGTGCGTAACCTATGCGTTGCAATCGATGAGGTTGTAACCGAATGGGTCACAACGGAGGGGGGTGCAGTAGGGCGGCGACGAGGCGGCGACGGAGCGGCGACGGCAACAACGTAGCCGCCAGACCGGCGGTCAGGCCCACGTGACGGGCGTCGACGGGGTGGCGGCGGCGATGAGATAGCTGCCAAGCCGACGGGAAGCCCGTGTTCTTTGCAAGCCGTCGCAGTAGCCAGCGTGGACCCCAAACAAGATGTTTCCAGCAATCTTATGCGGTGCCGCTTACGTGGTGCAATCTTATGTGTTCGCAATGGGTTGGCACCTCCACTGCTCGTGCAATCATCCCACCCACCCACCCGCAACTGGGTTTGCGCCTGCCTGGCGCTGGCTGGCGCATCGCTACGGCCGCGCTAGCGCGCGCAGGCTCGTGCGCAGAGTCGCCAGCTACTCTGGCGCGGCCGACGCGGCCGCTGTAGCGGTGACTCCTGGGGATTTCCCAGCGCGTCTCACAGGCCGCGCTGACGCGCGGGCACTTCCGTCGGTGACTCGGGCGCGCGCAGTATCATGGCGACGTCGACAACGGCAGACACGATGATGATTGCAGCGATGCTCGTGACGACGATGACGATGACGACGGCAAGGTAAATGACGGCGCCGATGCTGATCACGCATATGACGATGATGGTGTCCCCGCGTCCGTGATGAAGGTTTTGGAAGGATTTCGACACGCGCGCGCGGCCGATGCGCGCGAATGGCCTGCGTGGTACCATCTGATAGGGATCGTGCACCCTCAGCACGCGCGCAAAGTGCTCGAATGATTTCGACATGCGCGCGCGAGAGGCCCTATTGAAGAAACCATGCTGTTTCCGTAAGATGGAGCTCGCAAGAGCGCGCGCAAACTTTTTTGTACACGGATGTTGCAAACTCATGTTTTTGCATGTTTTTGGGGCGCTCGATTTTGACATTCACGCGACGCCTACGGTTTTTGGACAGAATTCGGCCTGCGCGCGACGACGCGCGCGTGTGCCGTTCGTCGATTTTTTTCCGTAAGGGGTTCTCGACAACTCAAGACTTATGATAAACGAGTGTGCGCGCATAGTGTTTTTTACAAAGGCTGGTCTGTGGGGGTCGATAAAGGACTGGCTGGGATGGTATGAACTTATAGTCTTAATGGGCGATGGGGTATACTCGTATGTGAACTATACATCCCCAAGGGGGGGGGAACGATAATGCCAGCCTGGGTGGTGGTGGATCCTAATTCTTTAACAAAAGGAGGGATTATTCTCTTGCACAACTGTGCTCTAGAGCTCGGACCTCTTTATTTTCGTTAGTCGTCGTCCCTGGTCCAGTCCTGGCCCTGTACCCAACCTCCCCCCTTGGTCCTGGCCCCAGCCCCCCTTGCTCCGCTGGCCCTGGCCCTGGACCCAGCCTCCCCCCCACCCCCGGCTCTGGCCCCAGTCCCCCTCGCCCTGGACCCTTTATTTTCGTTCGTCGTCGTCCCTCTGGTCCTGGCCCTGGACCCTGCCTCCTCCCCTGGCCCTGGCCCCAGCCCCCCTGGACCCTTTATTTTCGTTCGTCGTCGTCCCTGGGCCCTGGACCTAACCTCCCCCCCTCGTCCTGGCCCCAGCCCCCCTCGCCCTGGCCCTGGCCCTGGACCCAGCCTCCCCCTCCCCTGGCCCTGGCCCCAGTCCCCCTCGCCCTGGACCCTTTATCTGGTCCTGGCCCTGAACCCAGCCTCCTCCCCTGGCCCTGGCCCCAGTCCCTCTCGCCCTGGACTCTTCATTTTCGTTCGTCGTCGTCCCTCTGGTCCTGGCCCTGGACCCAGCCTCCTCCCCTGGCCCTGGCCCCAGCCCCCCTCGCCCTGGCGTCGTCGTCCCCCTGGCTCCTGGCCCCGGCCCCCCTCGCCCCGCTGGCCCTGGCCCTGGACCCAGCCCCCCCCCCCAGCCCTGGCCCCAGTCCCCCTTGCCCTGGACCCTTTATTCTCTTGCACAGCTGGGCTCTAGAGCTCGGACCTCTTTGTTTTCGTTCGTCGTCGTCGTTCGTTCGTTCGTTCGTCGTTCGTCCTCCCCCCCACGGCCACATTAGTAAACTCCTGGAGGAAGGAGGCGAACGCCTCCTGTCTCTCGCAGCTCCTTGGTGCAAGAGCCAGGGCACGCGTGCCACTTGTTTATGTGGAGCAACCTGTGTGGTGTACTCTGTGTGCTGGAATCTGACTCAATCTGACGGGCCGCGGCGAAGTAGCGACGGGGCGGCAACGGCGGCAACATAAGCGCCAGACCGACGGTCTGGCCCAAACGATGGGCGGCGACGAGGCGGCCACGGGGCGGCGACGGCGACAACACAGCCGCCAGACCGACGGTCAGGCCCATACGGCGGGCGGCGACGAAGCGGCCACGGGGCGGCGACGGCGACAACATAGCCGCTAGACCGACGGTCAGGCCCAGCTTCTTCGAGCAGAAATAAGAATCCCTAAATGCAGAAAACGTTCAGGGAACACGTAAGAACCCCTATGTGCAAACACTGTTTTGGGAATCGAGCGATTCGTGTGTTTTCCTCTGGTGCCCGTTATTGGCCCCCGGGCCATCAAACAAGTGCCTGGGACGAAACACTACCCTCGGGGTAAATTAAAGGGTCGGGACCTCTGGGGCCGTGCGTTGAAACAATCACATCGTCGGATGTCTGGGGTCATCGTCGTCGTCGCCGCTGCCGCCGCTGCCACTGTCGTCGTCGTCCTCCTCCTCCTCCCGCTCGTCTTCCTCCTCTCGCTCCTCCTCCTCGTGCTCTCCTGCTTCTCCTCCTCCTGCTCCTCCTCTCGCTCCTCCTCCTCCTCCTCCTCCTCCTCCTGCTGCTGCTGCTCCTGCTTTTCCTCCCACTCCTCCTGCTGCAAGAAGGCGCGGGCGTCTCTAGAAATGTCATGTGGGCGAGCACATGACTAAGGCAAACGAAACATCGCAACTCGATAACCACCAAAACTCGCATCCCGCAGAACCATGGACTTGTGCGTGGAGTTTCTTTTACATGATCGCTGACTCTGGGACGCACCTGCCGTACACCTGTTGTCTGCAAGGACGCGCTACAGCAGAACATTATACACATCACGTGTGCTAAGTGGCGAACTCACAGCGATGTACATCGGCTTAACAACGACATGCGAGCAAGACATAGCTGGCCTACGCTCGTCCACGGGCAACTTGCCAAGAGGTTCTGCGGGCTTTATCCTCGAATTTTTCGATGGAGCGTACCTTGACTCCTGCGCTTGTTCGGCGGTACATGAAACTCATAGACACAACATGGGTGGACACACGCTATGCGAATCTGCTCAGGCTACAACCATGACACCAATATATCTCGCCGACGAACAGGAGGGACTGTCAGCATAACGCTTCTCTAGGGGACGTCAACAATAATGATGCCAGCCTGCCCCTGACATGCAAACCTTGTGTGAATTTGCTCTTCGCTCGTCATTACAAGGCATCGCCACTTGATGGATGAGAGGGCACGGGGATGACATCGAAAACGCAATTTCAACACCTAGATTACCTGCCTTCGCGCTTCGCGCTGCGCAATACATTATCTTTGCGGCCTGGCGCGGCGGCAACTCTCCAGACCAGACCGTGAAACGCGACTATCTTCGCGCACCTGCGGGTGATCTAGAACGCGTTCGTGGCGTCAAGCAGCTGGCGCCGAGATTGCGTCTTCGAGCGCCACGAGCGCCGCTTTCGCCCCACGACCATCATCAGCATGAGGAGCCGTTCGCACAGCATCTTCGGGGCTGGTTGTGATTACCCGATATCGATCCTTTGCATACACAATACGACACACACACACGCACACGCACACGCACACGCACACGCACACGCACACGCACACGCACACGCACACACACAAACACGCACACGCACAGTCACACACACAGTCACACACACAGTCACACACACAGTCACACACACACCCACACTCGAAACAACAACTTTATCCAATATTCGCCTGGTGCCTGGTCGGGACACGGCAGCGTCGAGACGTTCGTCAAGCGACATGTGCTCTGGAATAACGTTGGTTCTATCCAGAGTTGGGGCCCGCACAGCAGTCATTCTCGTTATTTCGATGAGTGCATACTGCCATCATCACTATCACAATCGACGTTGCATGCACCATCATGCGATGCATGGCAACATGTTGTAATCACGCGCGGCACTGGGGCTCCTTGCGGCGATGGCTAGGTTGGACGTGGGAAGAACGTTGCAAACATTGACATGCGTCATTTCCGAAGCCGACGACGCAACCAACTAATCTTAAGGCAAAAGGGAAAGTACATGGCATGGCATGCAACACTGTATTCTAGGTACAATGACTCTGCTGTGCTATGACGTGCGACGCGTTGCAATGACGTAAGTGCAATGCGATGCTGCGCCTGGCCACGACGCGCGACGCCATGCATTTCGATACCATGCAACGCTATTCTGTGGACTGCTACGCCATGCGATCGCTACGCTGCTATGGTGCAATATATTCCACGTGTGGCCGGGGTATTCAATGCTAGGCTGCGCAGTCAATGTAATGCTATGCTAGGCTGTGCGATGCTACTATTTTCAATGCAATGCTCTGAAGTGCCACGATGTGACAGACGATTCGAAGCTATCCTTTATTTTGCAATACCTGGGTTTGCACAGCGTGCCACTGCTTACGTATGAATTTACCGGAAATGTGCTATCTCATTTGGGTCGAGCCAAGTTTATTGGTATGTTTCGGCTTCGTACGAAGTCTCTTCGCACCTTTGGGCGCCGCAGCGGGCCAACTCAACGGGCATCATGAATGGGCACGCCTTGACGCCCCAGCGCGTACTTCCGTGACCACCACGACGAAGGGGCACCGTCTGACGTCGCGGCGGACCCTTCCGCCGACACCGTAGGACCCCACAGACCACCGCGGAAGGCACCCCACGGAACGGGCGTCACGACGACGGGACACCATCTGGCGCCGCGGCGGGCTCCTCCGCAGACACGCCCACGGAGCACCGCGCAGGGCCGCCCGCGACAAGCACCGCGGAGCGACAGGACGGGACCCCGCGGGACGCCACACCAGACGGTCCGGCTCGGAAGGGCAGGGACGCAACCGCGACCGCAGACAGGGGACGTCCGAGGGGGCAGAAGACTCCTCCAGGGGCACCGCGGCACGAGCGAGGCAGATGGCACACCTTCTGGTCCGCGGCCGCGGGGCCATCACGCGGCGGTCGGGCGGCTGCAGGGGGCACGGGAGCGTGCGCGGAGGGGGCGCAGAGGGCGGAGCGGGGAGGAGAGAGAAGGGGGCGGCCGCAGAGGGGCAGAGGAAGAGGTCCGGCTCGGCAGGCAGAGGGCGCACGGGGCGCTCCAGAAAGGGCCTCGCCTTCGAGGGCCGAGAGAGTTGCCGTCTCTCTCTTGGCGGAAGGTGGCGGAAAGTCGGCGGAAGGCGGCGGAAGTTGAAGGGGCCCCAGGACACACAAATTCGCCGGCCCAACGGGCCAGAGGCGTGCTAAGATCTCCGGTAACTTGTTAACAATATTTCTAGTTCGCGCGCGCGGAGCGGCCCCTGGGGCCCCCGGACGAAAAGTACCCCGGCAAGGTCCCGAGAGAAGCCCGGGAGAAGCCACCAGACCACTCCAGGGGAGGGTATTTTTCGACACCCCTCACGAGGATCGTGGCCTCCGAGGGGGGAGCCGCAATCGACTACCCCCAAGAGCCCCCCAAGAGGCCCTGGGGGCCTCCAAAACGCCGCCAAGGAGCCCCAAGAGACTCCCAAGAGGTCCCCAAGAGGCCCCCAAGAGGCCCTAAAGAGGGCTCCAGGGCCGGCGGCATGAGCGAAGCGATTATAAATACACACAAATAAAACTATTCTCATATTTTCACATATTTTCTGGGTTGCTGTCTTCCCGCCCAATTCCCATATTTTCCCATATTTTCCTGGGAGGCGACGATTAATTGTGTCTGTGTGTTTTTTCCCTCCTCAGAAGTAAAGCGGCGGCGGCTCCGCTGGCGGAAGCTCGGCGGAAGCAAAAGTCGACCCCCCAAGAGATGGCAACATTCCTGTGGCCGGGGCTTCCAGACTCGGCCCCGCGGTGCCGCGAGCCGCGGCCCGAGGCGGGAGGCAGGGGGACACGAGGCAGAGGAACATAGGCCCAAACTCCGAAGGCGGAGGGAGCACGTGCAGGCACCCCCTCGCCTCGACAGGGCCCACCTGCCCAGCGCCCGCGACGGCAGGGCGGGAGCGGACCGGCAGGACTTCTCGACCCGCGGGCGCCCCGGGGAGGGGGTGCGCGTCGTCGGCGCGCGGCAGCGCAGGCACGCCGCGCGCACGGTGCGGGCCGCCAGAGAAACGACCTCCAAGCCGGGTGGGTGGCCTTTGCAAAGGCTCTCGCGCCCCTCGCCGTCGCTCGGACGTCCATTTCCCGTGCATTTTTTTCGGTTTCGGGCGTGTGTTTTTTGCTCGATGGTCCAGGATCGTCCTCAATGGTTCTCGCCGAAAAAAAATGCGCACGTCCGAGCGATGCCAGATCCCTCCGAGTCTCCCGTGTCCGTGCGCGCCCGGGCCCGAAGCCAGGACAGCGTGCGAGCGAGCACCCGGAAGGCGTGGCCCGCCGAGCAGCAGCGAGAGAGGTGCTCAGCAACGGCAGCGGTGCGAACAAGAAGCGAGGAGAGGGTGCAGCCCAGCAGCTGCGCTTCCTGCGGAGTGAAGATCCCCTCCTTGGCCTGGCGCCTCGGCAGTGCGGACGCACGCGGGCGTGACGCTGGCCGCCGTCCCCTCTGCCTCGCTTCCTGCCGTCCCTCCGTCCTCCTCTCCATCGCCTCGTCCTGCTCCTCTCGGGTGCAGTTGAAGGGGCCCTGGGACGCACACATAGATCGACACAAGTCCCAGGATTCCCTTATCTTGTCTGATACTTCCTGAATGTTCGTCTTCCCCCCCGCTTCCCATGTATTCCCATCTTCTCCTCGGGATCGACGATTCGTTGTGCTGTGTGTTTCTTTTTCCTCCTGAGCGATGCACGTGGGGCGAAGGAGCATGCGCCTTTTTCGTGCACCTCTTGGGCCCGTGGTGGCAGACCCGGGGCCCTCTGGGGCCACTCTCCTGCCGGCCTCGCTCCCCCCCCCCCCCCTTACGCTTCTTGCCCCTCCCCCTTGGCCGTGCGCCCGAGCCCCCTCGCCCCCACGCCCTCGCCATCACCGTCGCCGTTCTGCTTCTCGTCCCGTCTTCACCCTCCCCCCTCGCTCCCCCCTCGCTTCTCCTCGCTCCTCCTCGCTCCTCCTCGCTCCTCCTCGCTCCTCCTCCTCCTCCTCCTCCTCGTCCTCCTCGTCGTCCTCCTCCTCCTCCTCCTCCTCCTCCTCCTCCTCCTCCTCCTCCTCCTCCCCCAAGCCACCACAATCGCGCAACCCCGAGCGCATCAGGGCCACATCGTGCCGGGGCCAGTGGGAGGCGCAGACGCCGCCGTGCACCCTGGGCATTTCGGCCCCATCCTGCAGCCGAGTGAGCAATCGTACAGCCGGGCCGCTGAAAGCAGGAGCGCTGAATGAGGAACGAAACTCCTTGTGGGCCCCCAAGCCGCATTCGCTCGCGAGGAGGGCCAGAGGGCCAGCCATGGAAGGACCTGCGGAACATCCCGCCCCTTCCGAAGCCGAGCTGCTTCTTTCGGGCGTTGGCAGATCTGGGTTTCGTGGGACCTGGTTCAGTGGGACGGCAGACCTGGTTTAGTAATTGTGGCCAGTTCAGGGGCTCCAGGGCCCTACCACTGACCGGGTCCCCTTACCTGGGGTCCTGGCCATACCCGATTCTTGCTTCGGCGCCTCGCCTGCCTGCTCCCGTCGCTCTCCCGGCCGCGACCTCGCATCCGAGGCGCCGTCCGCCGCCGCCGCCGCCCCCGTCCGCCCGCCGCCTCTCCGCGCCCGCCCGGCCCCGAGGCCTCAGCGGGAGGGCCCGCCCCCCCCCGAGGGCCCCCCCGGCCAGGGCGCGGCCGGGCGCGTGCCGCCGCCGAGGCGACGTCCCGCACGCGCCGCGCGTGCGCGCGTCGGGCGCCCCGCGCCTCACAGCCGGCAGGGGACCTGTGCGACCTGTCCCGCCGAGGCGCTCCCGGAGCGCCTGCTCCAGCCCACCTCACAGATCAGCCGACCCCGTCGGCGTGCGTGGGGGGCCTGTCCGTTCGAGACTCGTCCTCCGCGTCATCCGAAAGAGTCGTCGTCTCTGCCGGCTCCCTTCCCTGCGGCCCCGCTCTCCCTGGGCCCGTCGCCGCTGCCCCCCCTCTTCCTGGGCCCCCCTCCCCGAGCGCGCCAGGCAGAGCGAAATTGAGGCACGTCCTCATTCAATCGAAGGGGAGCTCTCTCCCTTGGCTCCCTCCCCCGTCGGGGGGGGGGTCCCAGGGGAGATGCGACTCCCCCGGGGGGGGGGATCGACGCCGAGATACGCGTCACTCCGGGAGGGTCCCAGGTCCCCCAAAAGCCCCAGGACGGGCCAAAGAGTGCCCGAAGAGGCCCCCGAAGACGGTCCCCAAGAGGGCCCCGCATCGCCGAACGGTCTGTCCACGACGCCTTCAAGGCCTCTTGAAGGCCAGTGAGGCCTGCAGAACGCCCCTAGAGGCCTCCAGGAGTCCCGAGAGGCAAAATTCAGCAATCCCCCCTTAAGTTTCTGAAGGGTTTTGGCGTTATCGCCACTTCCGCTCCCCGACGCTCCAAGACGGCCCGCGAGGCCCCCAAGATCGCCCCAAGACGGCCCAAAGTCCTCCAAGAGGTTCCCAACATGGCCCAAGGGGGCCCCAACACGGCCCGAGACGCCTCCAAGACAGGCCAAGAGGCATCCAAGGCGGCTCCAAGAGGGTGCCCAGACGGGGGACCCGAACGGACATCTCGAACCCTCGCCCCCGAGAAGCTCCCAGGAGGCCCTAAGAGGCCTCGAACACGCCCCTAATAAGCCCCCAGGAAGCCCCTGGAGGCCCCCCCCACCAGAGGCCCTCTAAAACGCCCCCAAGCTGCCCACCAGAGGCCCTCTAAAGCGCTCTAAAGAGACCCCGACAAACATCCCCTCCACCCCCTGCACCTCACCCTCCTCCTCCTGTTCCTCCGCCTCATCTTCATCGCCCTCCACCTGCTCATTGCCCTTCTCGACCTCCCTCTGGCCCAAATCCCCCTCTTCCTCCTCCGCATGCTCTTCCTCCTCCTCCTCCTCCTGCTCCACGGCGTCCTCCTCCTCCTCCTCCTCCTCCTCCTCCTCCTCCTGCTCCCCCTGCTCTTCTTCTTCCTCCTCTTCCTCCTCCTTCTCCTCCTCCTCCTCCTCCTCACCCTTTCCCTCCTCCTCATCCTCCTCCTTCGCGTCCTCCTCCTCCTCCTCCTGATCCTCATCCTCCTGATCACCCTCCTCATTATGCTCCCCCCCTCCCCCGCGTGCTCTTCCCCCTGTGCTCCGTAACCTTACCTCGACCTCGTCCTTCCCATCCTCCTCCTCGTCCTGTCCCTCCTCCTCCCCCTCCTCCTCGTCCTCCTTCTTGTCCTGCTCCTCCGACTCCCATTATCCTTGTCCTCCTACTGCTCCTTCCCCCCCCCGTCCTCCCCCTGCCCCTGCTCCCCCTTCTCATCCTCTTCCTCCCTCTCCTCCTCGTCGTCCCCGTCGTCGTCGTCTGCAAGGTCAGCGGCACTGGCCGTAAGACCTTCACACTCAGCAGCTGGGGAACTGCATGCCGTATTCAGGCGGCAGTCCCCTGCTTTCCTGATGACACGGCTCAGCAGGCTTCACAGGGACTCATAATAGAAGGGAGGGGGTCAGAACCCTTCCAGACGGGCAATTTCAGACCCTCCCCAGCCCAGCTATGAAAGGGTGGCCTTTTGTCCAGACCCCCCGAGCCCTCCAAAACGGCCCAAATCAGACCACCCCAATCAAGCCCATACTTTTACCACGAAATCCGGAATCTGTTCTTGTCTGGTTGGCAGCTTTCGCTCGCCGTCCGCCGATAATAACACAGAATCCAGCCAAAGCGATACCCTCCCAATTGTCCTCGCTCTGTAAACGTGCGTCGCACTCTCTTCGCGCAGCGGTGGCAAATGCTGGGTATCACGACCAGCCGAAACGCACTTTTGGCAGAGTTAACATATCCTTTGAAGCGCTGCGTCGCAGCTGCTGCGAGGGGGTGATGAGAACGATGCGCAGTCTGAGTTAAAGGGATGATGCAATGAGGTGGATGTGGAGGATGAGCAAAGGGAGGAGAAGGATACACTGATAATTAGCAACAGCGGAGGGTGATGACAATGATGAGGAGAGACTGCACAAGCAACATGTGCTAATCACATAACGCTGACCTGTTTGCATGTGGCACTTGATGGCCCAGATGCGGAGGCTCCATGCCGAAGATGCCAGACTTCGGCAACGGCACACTTGATCGCCCTTGAGACAATCCCTGAGCTCCCTTGTCAGAAGTGGTCGCCGACTGCTTTCGGTGGCAATCAATGACCCCTTCGATGCCAAATGCAATATCACGCGCGCGTATTTTCAGTAACCGTGACGGCGCAAAGGACCTCTCCAGCGCACACCAGGTGCGCCTCGATCTCCAACGCATCAAAAAAGAAACTGCGCGGGCTTCTGGGTGCTTGCGGCTTTCAACCTTTAAAAGGAAGTCAAAGGTTTAGTCGCGCGCGCGCGTGTGTGTGTGTGTGTGTGTGTGTGTGTTTGTGTAAGCGTGGGGGGGCATCTTGGCCGCTGCACTTTGGCTTTACAGTGCCGCATATCTTCGTCACCGCCACCAATCTGCATGGCCGTGGCTGGATCATTTCGTCACGGCGCGTTCGGCTTCGTTCACAATTGGCACCTCCATCTGCCGACCGCGCCTGAGGTTCCTCTGCGCAACGCAACGACAGAACAGTTATCCTTGCGAAAGACCCAACCATCTGAAATTGTGAATGCCGCGTTGTGTGCAACGCTTTCGGTGGAGCTTCCCATGGGGCCACCTAACGTGTGAGGGGTGTGTCCAAATGGGTGGGGAACCGCATGTGGACCGTGCCGCTGGGGCCTTCAATGGAGCTCCCTATGGGGCCGCGAAACGTATGAATGGTGCGCCGAGATGGGCGGGGAACCGCATGCGAACTTTGCCCCTGAGACCTTCGGTGGAACTCCCTATGGGGCCGCAAAGCGTGTGAGGGGTGTGCCGAAATTAGCGGGGAGCCGCATGCGAACTTTGCCACTGGGCCTTCCGCGGAGCTCCCTATGGGGCCGCGGAGCGTGTGAGGGGTGTGTCGGAATTGGCGAGGAACCGCATGTGGACTTTGCCACTGGGGCCTTCGCTGGAACTCCCCATGGGGCTGCGAAACGTGTGAGGGTGTGCCGGCATGTGCGGGGGACCGCATGTGCCACGAAGCGCGTGCGGGGTATGCCGATTTGGTTGACATGTGGAGGGCAGAGGCAAGGATGGATGGAGGGATGAGGGGGAGGAAGGAAGGACGTAAGGACGGACTGAAGAAGATGTGGGGACTAGCTCTTCAAAACGGGGACTCACTTCCACATGATGGTTGGGAATTACCAAAACACAACACGTTCACACGCGCGGTCATGTACACGCACGCGCAAGCGCACACACACACGCGCACTCAATCGCACTCGCACGCGCACAGCCACACTCGAATACACACAAACACGCAAACACACACATACACACAGCCACCCCCACACAAGAACATGCACACCCACCCACCCACCCCCACACTCCCACACTCAGATCCCTCCCACCCCCCCACCCCCTCAGCCCTACACCCCCACACTCGCACACAGACACACGCACTCGCTCGCACGCACCTGCGCACGCACTACATGCACACACCAACGCACATGCACCTTCGCACCCGAACACCCACCCACACACACGCGTGCGCGCCCCCCTCCCCACGCACAAACACAGACACACACAGCCACACACAGACACACACAGACACACACACAGACACACAGACACAGACACACAGACACACACAGGCACACACACACAGACACACACACACAGACACACACACACACACACAGGCACACACAGAGAGACACACACAGAAACACACATACAGACACACACACACACCGACACACACAGACACACAGACACACACACAAGCACACATACAGGCGCAAACACAGGCACACGCAGACACACACACACAGACACACAGACACACACACAGACACACACACACACACATACAGACACACACAGACACACACAGACATAGACAGACACACACACAGAGGCACACACACAGGGACACACAGAGACACACACAGGCACACACAGACACAACCACATACACACAAACACAGACACACACGCACACGCAGGCCCACACACAGGCACACACACAGACACACTCGCAGACACACACACACAAGCACAGACACAGAGACACACACAGAGACACACACACAGACGCACACACAGACACACACACACATACACCACACACACCACACACACACCACACGCCACACACACCACACACCACACACCACACACACCACACACACACACGCACGCACGCACCCACACAGGCACACACAGACACACACACACACACACACGCACGCACGCACGCACACACACACGCCACACACAGACAGACACACACACACACACAATCAACACACGCACGCGCAAACAAACACGCACGCTTTAATAATGCCGTATGCCAAAACCGACTGTTGCAAGCACATCTTTTCGCCTAACCACCCGCCCCCATCAGAGGGAGAGGTGTCACTTCCTACTGGCGTTCTGGAAGTTTGATGACACGTTCCCGATTTTCGAAAATTCCATGCAACTGTAGTTAGCGAAGACTCAACATAGAGCAGGATATTGGAGTGGAGTGGGTTGGCCTAGACTGACGTAAACTGAACTGGAGTAGACTGGACCATCTATCTTAATATATTCTGCTCTACTCTGCACTATTCTCCCCTACTCTATCCTACCCTACTCTGCTCTACTTTACCCTGCTCTACTCTACTCCGCTCTACTCTACCCGACTTCAGTCTACCATCTACCCTGCTCAACTCTACGCTGCTCTAATCTACCATCTTCCCAATTCTACTCTATCTGCTCTGCTCTACTCTACTCTACCAAATTCTAGCCTACCCCAATCTACTATACTCTGCTCCACTGAACTCTACCCTACTCTACTCTACTCTACTCTACTCTACTCTACTCTACTCTACTCTACTCTACGTGCTGTACTGCTACTCTACTCTACTCCTGCTCCGACTCTACTCTACTCGAATCTCCTCTAGCATCCTCTGGTCTATCATACTCTGTTCTGCTCTACTCGATTCCAGTGTACTCCAGGCTACCCGACTCGACTCTACCATCTACCCTGCTCTACTTTACTCTATTTTGCTCTACTCTACCCTGCTCTACTCTACCCTACCCTGCCCGGCCCTACCCTAGCTTACCCTAATTTACTTTACTCTACTCCTACTCCTACTCGACGCATTCTGAACTGTACTCTCCTGTCTTCTCCTCTCTTCTACTCTTCTCTACTCTACTTTTTGCTGCTCTACTCTACGCACATGCTCGTGTCTACTCTACTCTGCTCTCCTCTACTCTATCAAACACAGGCCCTATTCTAATATTTATCATCTACCCTACTCTGCTCTACTTTACCCTGCCCCACGCTATCTTACTCTACTCGACCCTACACGAATCTACCCTAACCCACTCGGCTTTTCTGTACTCTGCTATCTAATTTACTCTAGCCTACCCGTCCCTACTCTACCATCTACCCTACGCTTCTCTACCCTTTCTACTCTACCCAACGATACATTACTTTACCCTGCCCCTACCCTACCCTAACCTACTCTACTCTTCTCTAGTCTAGTCTACTCTACCCTGCACCACTGTACCCTACTCTACTCCGGCTCAACTCTACCCTCCTCTGCTCATACGCCTACTACAAGTTACGCTCTTCTTCTCTACTGTAGCAATATCTACCTAGCTCTACTCTATTCTGGTATACGCTACGCATCTAGTATTACCTTATCTTCTCTACCCCCTCTACTCTATCATATTATACTCGTCTGTATTCTACCTGACTCGACTCTACTATCTACCCTACTCTACTCTACACTGCTAATTCTTGCCCTGCTCTACCTGCGCTGCCCTACCCTACCCTACGCTACGCTATGCTGCTATAGTCTGCCATACTCTACTCTGCTCTATTATATTCCTGATCTACGCTGCTCTCTACTCTCCTCTCCTCCACTTTACTTTACTCTGCTATCCTCTACTCTATTATACCGGCTCTACTCGACCATCGACCCTACTCTACTCTGCTCTACTCTGCTCTGCTCTAGTCTAATATACCCTATCGTACCCTACTCTGCTCTGCTCTGCTCTGCTCTACTCGACTCCTGCTATACCTTACTGCTGCTCTACTCTGCTCTCCTCTCCTCGTCTTAGTTCTACTCTATTCTGCTCTGCTCTACTCTACCCTACTCTACTCTTTCTGCACTGCGATACTCATCTACTCTACCCTACTCCTACTTTGCTCTACTCTTCTCTACTTCCGACTTTGACGAGTGTTGGACGATTGCTGGGACGCGATTGTAATAACTACAGGAAGCTACTGCGACAGCAGAGGAAACCACTGCACTAGCAGAGGAAGTCATTAGAGTAGCAGAGGAAACTATTCCAATAGCAGAGGAAGCCATTGTAACAGTTTGGGGCAATATAAGAGGGCGGGGGGGGGAACAGTGGACGAGTTCTCTAGGGATGGAGCTGGGACTCCAATCGGCAAACCTATTTGGAGAAAACGCGCACGATGCTGGATAAAGCCGAGCCGTATGCGGCGACAACGAAGAGCGCCCCTTCGGGCACGCGCCCCGCCTCTCTTCTTCGATGGTCTGGAGCGGGGCGAACTTGAAAGCCTCCTCGGACATCTCCTGCTGCCACTTGCGCTCCAAGTCTTGGCGCCTCCGCTCGGGCTCGCAGGTGCGGCAGGAAGAACCCGCGGCGACGCTGGATGGGACGGGGCCAGGCAAGGTCTGCCGTCCGTGCGCCCGTGCATTGCGTGCTCGAAGCCATCCACGGGTGCGCCAAAGAGGGGCGCCAGGACGAGGGGGGTGAGCGCATCATGGCCCGAGGCACGTGCGCGGACGAGTGGCTGGCTGGCTGACGTATTGAAAGAAGAGGGGGGGGGCACGACATCGGGGAGACTTCATGGCCATGGCCCTGATGTCCCCTGATATCCACGCCCCCCCAGTCCTCACCGCCCCCTTCGATGGCCCCGACACCCCACTCGGCAGGTCTCAGGACCACTCGGACGCGCAAACGGATCTACTTCACTGAGTGGCTCACAGCGTCACTGGGTGCAATGGCAAGAACCAGATGCTGAGAGGGAAGACAGCACAACGACGAATTCTGCAACCTGTCATTGAGGACACCGGCGGAATCAAGGGACCCCTTCATAGTAATCCTATTGAACAACCCAACCATGTGCAATTGTGAATACAGCGTTGTGGACACCGCTTTCGGTGGAGCTCCCTGTGGGGGCCACGAAACGTGTGATGGGTGTGCCCAAATCAGCGGGCAACTGCATATGGACTGTGCCACTGGGGCCTTCGGTAGAGCTCCCTGTGAGGCCACGAAGCGTGTGAAGGGTAAGCCGAAATGGGCGGGGAATCGCATGCGATCTTTGCCACTGGAACCTTCGGTGGAGCTCCCCTTGGGGCCGCGAAACGTTGGCACTGGGGCCTTCGGTGGATCTTCCTATGGGGCCGCGGAGCGTGTGAGGGGTGTGCCCAAATGGACGGGGAACCTCATGTGGACTTTGCCAGTGGGCCTTTGCTGGAGCTCCCTGTGGGGCCACGAGGCGTGTGAGGTATGTGCCGAGATGAGCGGGGCACCGCATGTGGACATTGCCACTGTGGCCTTCGGTGGAGCTCCCTACGGGGCCGCGAAGCGTGTGAGGGGTGTGCCCACGTGGGCGGGGGACTGTATGGGGACTTTGACACTGGGGTCCTCGCTGGAGCTCCTTATGGGGCCGCGAAACGTGTGAAGGGTGTGCCGAACTGGTTGACATGCGGACGGCAGAAGCAAGGATAGGAGGAGGGAGGAGGGGGAGGTGGAAGGAAGGAAGGACGGATGGAGGCGCGGGGACTGTCTCTTCAAGAAGACGGCCCAACTCCACAATATGGTGGGGACTCCTGAAAAGCGCCAGTCGAGCAAAACGGGGGTTCAGCATTCAATGTGATTCCATATGTACGCGGTACTTTGATGTTGGGCGATGTGCTCACAAACTGGCTGTGTTGACCGCGAAATTCGTACCATGTAGCCACGAGGCACAGCTCAATGATGATCTGTGACATGTCGGTGGCTCTATTGTGTAAGTTTGGTCGGCATCGCAAAACGCTGACATCCACACGGTTGGAATAACCGAGTTGTCGGGTGGGATGCGCGGGTGGAGGTATGTTGGCCGACCATCACAACGACCATAATCCATACCAGACCACGAGAGACCAGACCGTACTTGCCGGCCGAGCTGCTAAGTGAGGCGACAAGATGGCCATGCAAGCATCTGAGTGCGAAACATCTTCAAGCTGGCCGCAAGCGTAGCTAATGACCACTGTGCCCACTTACTCTCTTCTTGAGCGATCGGCGGGCGGTGGAAGCCCCAAACCTGCACGGAGACGCAGTCCCTCCCCTCTGAGGCACCGTCCTCCGAGTGGCTTCTCGAGTCGCACCTGCGGCCACAGGAGGCTGGCCAGCCGGGGGCGCTCCGGCCGGCGAGGCGGCGCGCGGTCCTTCGCTGCGGGTGCTCACAGACGCGGCCCTGGACCAGGACGTCCCCAGATCCCCAGTCACTTAGGGAGACGGGGGGGCCTCTTCTGGGCCTCGTCTGGGGCCGGGGGGGGGCAGACGAGGCCTCCCTGGCATTCCTGGGGCCGGGCCACTTCCATCAGCACCCGGTGCTCCTCTTGGAGCGAGCGGGTCGGGTGGAAGTTCTGGTGGTACGGGGGTGCGTGGCTCTCTCTCCCTCGCCGAAGCGCTGGCGTGCTTGCCAGGGAGCTGGAAAGTCAGGCGGCGGGGTTCGCATGTGGCACATGCGGAGGCCGCACACGGGACACGTATGCGGGCAGCCGGCATGTCCGGCCATGCGAGAGGCCACCGCTGGAAAGACATGGAAGGCCCTGCCCAGGTCAGTCACGTCATGTGTATCCTGCTTCCTGGTGTCATTATGCGGGAATTTCCTTCTTATTCTTCTTCTTCTTCCTCCTCCTCCTCCTCCTCCTCCTCATCCTCCTCTGATTGGCCTGTTGGCTGACTTGAAAAAACAACGCAGAAACATGGCTATCGAGGCGAGCAATGTACTTTCGGCGTGGTCCTCTTTCCGTCCCTCCTCGCCCTGGAACTTACCTTCCCCACCCACACGCACGTACGCCTATATGCACACATATATGTATATCTATATCTATATCTATATACTGCCAGGCGTATAAAATGTATATGTCCATGTGCAATATCCTACGGGATTCTCAGGGTCACGAAGGAGAGGACTAGTAGGAGGAGAGAGATGAGGAATCTGAAGAGGACCAGGAGAGGGATGGATGAAGAAGGCACGCCAGGAGGAAGAGGACATGAGGATGAGGGAAGGGAGGCGCACGAGGAGAAGAGGAGGAAGGGGGAGGAGGGGAAGCCGAGGAAGAAGGTGGAGGAGGATGAGGAAGTGGAAGATAGGAGGGCCTACGCATGCGCCACTCGCTCCATGGGCCAGGCAGCTCTGCGACCAGGTCGAGGAAACAGCTCTTGATGCGCCTCAAGCTTGACTGCGCCTGTGTGGCAGCGGAGGAAGAGGACGAGGCAGAAGACGGAGGGCAGGGATGATGAGGAAGAGGAGGCGGAGGGGTAGGAAGAAATGGCGAGAAGAGGGGGTGGGCATGATGGGAGGAGGAAGGGGCTGCGACGGCTGCGGTGGAGGAGTAATGATGCGGAGTGGGGAGTGTGTGTGTGTGTGTGTGTGTGTGTGTGTGTGTGCGTGTGCGTGTGCGTGTGTGTGTGTGTGTGTGTGTGTGTGTGTGTGTGTGTGTGTGTGTGTGTGTGCGTGTGTGTGTGTGTGTGTGTGTGTGTGTGTGTGTGTGTGTGTGTGTGTGTGTGTGTGTGCGTGTGTGTGTGTGTGTAGGGGGTTGGAGGAGGGCAACGGGTGAGGGAGTGGGGAGTGGAGGGAAGATGGGGATGGGGGGCACAGCAGGAGTCCGCCCCCATCTGTCCCTGGTCTTTAAGCGACGTGCGAAGCCCTGGCAGCAGGGGCACCTCCACGGGCACCCGGCACCATGGGTGTGGCTCGCGCGAGCCAGGCAGAGACGGCTCAAAAGGTCTCCAAAACGCTCCAAGAGGCCTCCAAGAGGACTCCCAAGAGGGCCCTAAGGGGCAACATTCATCGAGTTCCCTGAGGTTTTTGAAAGATATCGGCATTCTCGCCTTGCCAGCGTTTCGACGCTCCAAGACAGGTCAAGAGGCCTCCAAGATCGCCTCAATATGGCCCAAGAGACCCGCGATCCGCCGACGGGCGGCGGAACGGGGGCCGCCGCACCGAGCAGTCGTCACGGACAGGCAGGCTTCCCAGAACTTGCCGTCGCTCGGACGTCCGTTCCCCGTGCATGTGTCGGTTCCGCGCGTGTACGTTTCGCAGGGCAATCCAGGAGGCTTCTCGGTGGCCCTCGCCGCGATGCCAAGAGAACGAGATGCTCGCCTGGTGCTCGCGTCGAGCGCCATTCTTGGGTCGGGCAGGTCCATATTCAAAAGTAGCCAGAAATAGTCGAGCATCGTCCCCAGACAATTAGTTTGACTACTCTTTGAATATTCTTCCTGTAGAGGGACGTGCTCGACTGAACGCTTTTCCGGACGTGCGGTCGAAACACACGGTCACCAAAACGTGCGTCAACAGCACGAGCCCCGTCTTTGGCCGAAAGAATGGGCACAATGCCCAACAACAAATGTTGTCCCAAACCAACAGTGGCTACTGTTGGGCAGGCGGCCTTCTGTCTCCAATGGACACAGGCCGCGGCGGCGCGGACAGCGAGTCCGGTTCAAAATGAACAGGAACTGCTGTTGGGCATTGTACCCATTCCTTTAGTGCCCATCTCGCTCGTGCCGACCGTCGCCGCATGCCAAAAGCTCACTGACTGCTCAGCTCCGCGGGCGCGCCCTCCTGCCCCCTTGTCCCGGCCCCCACAGACCTCGAGCACGATCCAGGCCCTCGCCCGCATAACACATGCATGGCAGCTGGGCTGATCTGTATGTACCCGGCTCACCTGCGGAAGGGTCCTTTTGCTTAGCATGTCGCAGCGGCTGCCCCGGCGACGCGCTATGCCTTGCGAGCGGATAGCGTGTTCATCCGCTCCGCGGGACATGGGGCTGAGACAAGCTCGGGACATTGACGCATGGGGAGGGAGTGGGACGTGGATCCGGTGTCGCGCCGAAGCGTGGTGTGACAGAACTGGCGGCGGAGCGACACGTTGAGCCAAAATTCCTGACCATAACTTCGCACCTCGCGCTGTGCTGGGTGCGATGGTCGTCGCGCCTTCGCGCCGCCCGCAGGAGAAACGCACCTTTCCAGCCCAGACCGCGAAGAGCCCGCGCCCCTGCGGTCTGTGACCCGGGGCGCAGCAGGCTCCTGCCGCGACGACGTCGACTCTGGCGTCTGACACCGCGTGATGCGCGCGACCCGAAACAACAAAGACGGTCGAAACTCCCTTGTGCGAGGGAGAGAAGGATCAGAGAGCCAACCCTGCCCGAGACCCGTAGATAATGAAGACGGTAAAGGTCTTGGGGGCCTCTTGGGCCGTCTTGGAGCGTCCGAAAGCTGAAAGTCGAGAACGCCCAAATCCTTCAAACACGAATGGACAAAATCAATGACTTTTGCCTCTTGCGGCCCTCTCGGGAGGCCTCTTGGAGGCCTCTTGGGGGTCCCTCCTCTGAGGCGAAGAAACTCTCAGTCTCCATGTCAACACTGGGAGCCGATCGGGCAGCGGATGGGGAGAGGCAGGAGGTGAAGAGAGGGTCCGCCACCGTGCCGCTGGGCACGGGGTGGGCGCGTGCTCGGGTCCTTTGCCAAATCCTCTAAGCCTCAATTCTCATTCCTGAAGAGTACGAGGCCCCGAGTCCCAATTGCCAAATCTCCTGGGGCTTGGCGCGTCGCGTCTTGTCGTGGCTTCTCGCGTGACTTCTTCGGAGCCAAAAGGGCCCCAAGACGGGCCAAGAGGGCAGCCAAAGACCCCCAGAACGGTCCAAGAGGGTCCCGAGTCGCAGAAAGATCGCTCCAAGACGCTCAAGATGACCCCGAGACGGCCCAAGGGGCCTCCAAGACGCCCCGAGAAGCCCCCCAAGAGGGCCCCCCAGAAACACAAATCATTGCTGATCATTCCGTTTTCGACGTTTTTTCGCGTTCTCGCCTCTCTGGCTTCCTGGCGCTCCCAGACGGCCTCAGAGGCCTCCAAGACCGCCCCAAGACGGCCCAAGAGGCCACCAATAGGGCCCCTTAACGGCCCACGACGGCCCCAGGAAGGCCCACGGAGCGCCCAAGACGGCCCCAATGACGGCCCCAAGACGGGGCCCCCAGAGGGGGGACCCGAGCGGACAATTTTGAGCCCTCGGCCCCTCCCTGGTCTCCATGAGGCCCCAGGAGGCCCTCCAGAGGTTCCCAAGATGCTCCCAAGACTGCCCGCAAGAGGCCCCCAAGAGCGCTCCGCTCCGAAGAGATCCCGAGAAGCATCCCCGAGAACTCTGACCCACAGCCCACGCACGGCGGCGGGATGGGCCGAAGGCCACTCGACGCGCCGCCCCCCGTGGTCGTGCCACAGAGGTGGCACGGCGTGCCAAATTTCAGGTGGTGTTGGGTTCTGTTAAACTGGCCGCAAGAATTGACCCCCACGACCGGCTATTTGCCTGCGTGTCAGTGTGGGCACTGCGACTCTTATACGGACCAGGGGACGGGCCAACAAGGAAAAGCGGACCAGGCAAGGGACAGAAAAAGGGCAGGAAAGTGACGAGCCGAGGAGCGAGAAAGGGAGGGGGAGAGGGAGGGAGGACGAGGGAGGGAGGGAGGACGTCAGGTGGTGTTGGGTTCTTTTTAAGACTCCCCCTGGGGCTCTGGTCCATTGCGCCAGCCCCCGGGGAGGCCGCGCCAGCCGCACCATCAATCCGCCGAGCAGTTGCGTCACATCGCCATCCAAGACGGCCAAGATGGGCTCCCAGACGCTTCCAAGACTGACGAGATGGCCCCAAGAGCCCCAGATGGCCCCAAGATGCACCCAAGGCGGCCCAAGAGGCACCCAAGATGGCCCCAGACGGTCCAAGAGGCCCCCAAGGGACCAATTGATTTTCATAAAGTTTTGAAGGTTTTTGGCATTTGCTTCGAAACGGCCTTCCGTCGGCCCAAGGAGGCCGCCCCCAAGATCGCCCCACAGAGCGCCTCCAAGATGGCCCCAGGACGGCCCAATATGCTTCCAAAACGGCCCCCCAAAGGCCCCAAGACGGCCTCCAAGACGGCTAAGATGGCACTCAAGACGACCCTGAAGCGCCCCAACAGGATCCAAAGACGGGTTCTGACGGCGTCAGACGGGTCAGGAACGTCGTAAGACGGCCAACGAGGCCTCTAAGAAACCCCGAAAGGCCTCCAAGAGGCCTAAGGAGGCCCCCAGGAGGCCTCCAAGAGGCCTCCAGGAAGCTCCCAGGAGGCCGCAAGAATGACCCAAGAAGCTCCCAAGACGTCTCCTCATCCTTCTCCTCATCCTCCTTTATCCTCTCTCTCTCCTTGTCCTTCTCTTCCTCCCCCACGTGTTCTCTAAAGGGCTTCCGCAACTGCTGGGGGAACACATGGTCCAATAGCGTGGCCAAACTTTTCCCAAACGTTTGGCCACATGTGCGTGTCCTAACAGGCAGGGGGCGGCGGTGCTTCGCTGTAGGCGCCTTCGATACGCACGCGCACACGCGCAGCCTGTCGACCCCACACGTCGTACCCCTCTCGCGCCGTGGGTTGCTCCCCGTGGGCCCCGGGGCCCGAGCCTGGCGCTCCACGACCGAAGGCCCGCGCCCGCACCGAGGCGGCTCGAGCCTGCCGGAGGCCACTCTCGCTCAAGATCGACCTCTGGGCTCCAGCCCGGACGCCGTCCTGGCCGGCCCTTCTGGCCGCGCTCGGCCGCGGCCACGGAGGGCGCGCCCTCCGAGGCCCAGGAGCGAAGGCCAACCGCCCTAGCTGGAAGCGTCGCCCCCGGTGTGCCCCCGCCCTGGAGCTCGGCCCGGCTGCACTCGGCCAGCCGAGCTCGGCCAGGCTGAGCTCGGCCCGGGCCGATCTCGCTGAGTGCAGCCTGGCCGAGGCCAGGCGGCCGAGTTCCGCCTGGCCGAGCTCGGCTGGCCGAGTTCCGCCTGGCCGAGACTTCCCTGGCCGAGTACTGTTGCTACAGTCGGCCCGTATATCATAAGGATGCGCGATGAGGATGCGAAGGCCTCGGACGCGCAGGGCGCGGCCAACGAACGTGGCCAAGGATGGACCGAGGAGGCAAGGATGCAAGGGTACCCTTGCGAAGGTTGCCCATCCTTACTATGCGGGTTGGCCGTATCCCTGACGAGGGGAAACGGCAAGGGGGGGGGGAAAAGGCTCAGGGCGGGATCCGCGGTGGGCCCCTGACAGCGACCCCGCGCGCGTCTGGGCGGGGGGGGGGAGGGCCAGCGGGCCCCCAGAGGCGATGAGTGGGCGATCGGGGCTCGAGGCGTCCCCCCCCTGACCATCGCCCCCCCTGGCGCTGCCCCTGCCCTTCCGCCCCCTGGTCTCCCGGCCACACCTCGGGCCTCCGTCGCCCGGCCGGGACGCTTCGGGCACCCTCCAGAACGCTCTCGACGAGGCGCAGCCCATAGAAAAACCACCCCCGAGTCTCCCAGACGCCCGACCTCTCTCGAAGACTCCCGAGAAAGCCACCGAACACTTTCCGAGAGCGTCGCTCGGCCTTCGGGTCATAGCTCTCGGCTCTCCGGCGGCCCTGCGGGACCGCCTGGGCCCCCCGCAGCGCCCTCGGCGAGGCGCGGCTGCCGAAGAGCACCCCGAGGACGGGGCGGCCCCGCCGAGAACCGCCGCCCGCGCGCGCAAGCCTCGAGCCTGTGGAGCCCGCCGCGCGCTCCCCCTCCCCCGACCCGGGCCGAGCGGGCCGCCGCGGAGGCGCGCCGCGCCTCGAGCGCCACCCGCTGGCCGCGCGCGCCGCCCTTCCGCGGGCGCGTGGCCCTGCCGCGGGCGCGGCCGACCAGCCGCGCCCGCCGGCGGCCCGCCGCGGCCAGGAAGGCGACGGCGCCTGGCGGGCGGCGCGGGCCGGGAGGGAGGCCCCCGCGGAGGTGCAGGCGCCGGCGGCGTGGTCGCGGGCTGCCCGGCACGAGGCGCCCCACCCCGGAGATCCCTGGCGTCTCAAGTGGGCGACGGTCAGAAACTGGTCCCCCCTCCCCCTCCTCCTCTTCCTCCTCCTCCTCCTCCTCCTCCTAGTCCTCGTCCTCGTCCTCGCCCTGCTCCTCTCCCTCCTCCTCCTCCTCCTCCTTCTCCTCCTCCTCCTCCTCCTCCTCCTCCTCCTCCCCTCCGAGCCCCTAGGCCGAAGTCTCGAACCTCGGGCGCGGGATGACACAGCGGGCTTGTGCGGTGGCTTGCGCGGGCTTCCCGCGCGGCACGCCACATCTGAAGCGAGGGCGCTCACCCGCGACCTTGCGGTGGGCAGCTTCCGCGCCAACTGTCGGCGTGGCCCGCGTCCAATTGGTAGCGCTGCCAACTTGCGACGGTCACCCATCCGTGTAGGCGGGCACTTCGTGTGATCCCTCTCGGGATGCCTCGGGGGGAGCCCTGGGGAGCCTGACGGCGCTGGCGCGGCCCCGTGCTGCTGGCCCCTGGCCCAACGGGGCTGTGCGTGACCCCGTGTTGGCCCCTGACCGCCGCTCGGGTGCAGAACCCTTTGTGGCGCGAGCGCGACTTAGCAGGGGGGAAACGGGTCTGGAAGGAAGCGGGTCCTGGACCCTGGGGCCCTCCCCCCCAGGACCAGCTCTTCCTCTCGAGTCGTCTTCTGGCACTCCCGAGGCCCCCATTGAGGGCCCCGGGAGCCCCAAAAACAGCGGCCTTATCCCCCGAGGATCAGTTTTTTTCCGGAGTCGTCTTCTGGCACTCCCGAGGCCCCCTTGAGGGCCCCGGGAGCCCCCCACAACGGTGACAAACCTCAAGACCCGTTTCTCTCAGGACCCGCTTCCCCCACGACGACGACGACGAACCATGGGAAGAAGGAGGAGGAGGAGGATGAGGAGGAGCAGGAGGAGGAGAAGGAGCAGGAGGAGGAGAAGGAGCAGGAGGAGGAGAAGGAGCAGGAGCAGGAGGAGGAGGAGGAGGAGGAGGAGGAGGAGGAGGAGGAGGGGCCCAAGCGAGGGGCCGACATGGCGGTCCTAGCAGCGCGCCTCTTCACCGAGAGAAGCCAGGCCCAAGGGAAGTGCTCCATGATCAGCTGCTACGACCTAAAGGAGGCTTTCTACTCGGTTGTCGTCCAGCTGGTCCACGGCATCCCAGGCGAAGAGGACGAAGTCAGGGAGGTGCTCGACAACATAGAAGTTCCCCTGTGGGCCCCGCCGCAGCTGGAGCACCTCATGGCCAACCCAGGGATACTCGACACCGTGCTGGATGGCTCCCACCTGGCTGCCCTCATTGCCGAGGGGTATCGCAACAGGTGGACATCGCACCGATTCTCCCAGAGATTCATGGCGCCGCACAAAGGCACGAGGCCTGGCGTGCCCCTCGCCGACGCTGACTTCAATCTGCTCTTTGGCCGCGTCCACCGCATGATCGACAGCTACCTTGCACAGCGAGGGCTAGGGGCCCAGGGCAGGCCCCTGGAGAGTAGCTTCGCATGCGCCACCGACCCTACAGATGGACCGCTCCAGGAGCATGAGCCCCACGGCCTCTCGTTCGTCGATGACCTCACGGGCATGCACGTGTTCACCAGCCCCGACCACATTCAGACTGAGGCCTCGGGGTTTTGCGAGGCCGTCTACTGCGCCACCAGCACCTTCGGCCTCCAGCTGCAGCTCACCAAGACCAAAGTGATGCTTGACTTCAGCGGGCCTGGAAGCCGGCAAGCTCGGGCCAACTTCTACTCCAACGGAGCACCGAAGATTGCGGTCCCCCTGGCTAAAAGCCACGTCGAGGTAGTCCGCCACCACAAGCTCCTCGGGACCTACGTGGCCGACAATGCATCTCCTGGGGTGGATGTCGCAGTGAAAGTAGCTACCGCTGCGACCTCCACGCGGCCTCTCCATCGTGAAGTCCACCGTCGTTCAGAGCTGGCCGTCAAAGACAAGGCCTACATAGCCGATAGCGTGGTGCTATCCCAGCTGCTATACAACGCGTCCACTTGGCCCGAACTCACAGCAGGCCAGGCCAGGAACTTCAACAACCAGTATATCGTGAACTACGCGGCCGCACAGAGGATTACATGGAAAGTGCGACAGAAGAAGGAGGTCACAAACATCCAGATTCTCGAAGGAGTAGACAAGCTCCCCCCCGAGATCGTCCTACGCCTCGAGAGACTTCGGCTATTTGGTAGATGCCTCAACTGGGGTCCCCTTCACCTTCGTCGACTACTCAGCCAGGCCTGGGACGGGCATTACGGTTGGGTAGCATTGCTCCGCCGCGATTTAGACTGGGTCCGCGACCACACAGGACCTGACGAGCGAGGTGGAGCCTACACACTCGACGACTGGAAGGACTGGGCCAGGAGCGACTACAAAAGCTACCTCAACGCAGTCAAGAAAGCTTGCCAACGCGGCAAAACCCGCCAGTACGACCACGACCACCACGCCCGATGGCGGCTACGACTCCAGCGTTGGACCAACACGGAAGCCATCTCGCCCTTCCCAGACCAGCACTTCGAGCAGCAGCGCAAGTACCTCTGCTACCACTGTGGACGTACAGAGCTCAGCGCAGCAGTACTACGAGCCCACATCACCAAGGACCACACCTCGTCGGGACATCCCATCTCGTGGGCAACTGGCTCGATCTGCTATGGATGCGGCATGGACTACCACACCACGAACAGACTGGTCAAGCACTTGCTGCGGGTGCGCAGGTGCGCTCGACACTGGCGACGAACACGACCAGCGCTTCTCAGCAAATCCGAGCTGCAGCACAACCAGCAAGTGGTGCGAGACCAACAGCAGGCGAATAGAAGGGCCGGCAGGCCCATCGACTGGGCCGAGAAGCCTGTAGTCCCTGCTCGCCCTCCAGAGATACACACTGACGACGACAGCGACGACAGCAACTGCGGCCACCACCAGGACCTCGAGCTCCCCTTCATCGAGGAACCGCCGCCGCCGCCGGCTACTGTGCCCAGGCCTCCGCCAGCTCGGACACTATACGTGCTACATCTGTTCAGCGGTCGTCGCCGAGAGGGAGACGTTCAGGACTGGTTCGACCGCGTCTGCAGTCGGGCCTCATGCGACCTACACATGCTCAGCCTGGACGTTGCCAACGACCAGACCTTCGGCGACCGTGCATCGGAAGTTGCAGCCAACAAGTGGCGAAGCCTGGCACAGGCAGGAAGGCTCGCAGGCGTCATCGGCGGGCCACCGTGCGAGACATGGAGCCGAGCGCGTCACCTGCCCCCCAACGCCTGCAGGGGACGCCCACCGAGACCCCTGAGGAGCAGCAACAGCTTGTGGGGCCTCCGCTACCTCTCCCGACCAGAGGTGGAACAAGTAGCGACAGGCAATCGCCTATACAGGACACAGCTGGAGCTCATGTACATGTGTCTCAACCTTGGCGTCCCAGGCATGCTCGAGCACCCGTGCGAGCCCACTGAGGAGCACTTCGCCAGCTCCTGGAGGCTCCCCGAGACGCGCCACCTCCTGGGCCAGCAGGGAGTCGAGCTGATCACTTTCGACCAGTGCACCTGCGGGGCGCGTTCGAGGAAGTCCACAAGCCTGCTGGCAGTATCCCTTCCAACTCTCCGCTCGGAGATAAGAAGGCTACCTGGAGGCGGGAGGTGCTTCCGCACGGCCACCTACCACGCGGAGCTGGCGGGCATCAACGACGACGGCCAGTGGCGCACCGCGGCGGCCAAGGAGTAGCCGACGAGGATGTGCCAGGCCATCGCGACGGCGCTGATGAAGCAGATACGCTGGCGCTTTGGCGAGACGCCAAGCGACGCCAGCGTCTGGCATATCGACGACGACGTGGCCCACTTCTTCCAGCCCCTCGACCACTACATGACCAGGGAGATGGGCCAGGACTACCACCGTGGCCCAACGAGGCGAGGGAGCGCCCCGACCTGGTTGGAGGAGGCGAGGGAGTGGGCCGTGCAGGACCGACCTCGACAAGGCTCGGGGCAGGACCACCAACTCGACGAGTTCTGATCGGGCACAGCTCGATGATGCTGATCGCGACGAAGAGCGATGACGACAAGTACAAAAGGCGTCAGGACGCAAGTCCTGAGGAAGCCCCGAGTGCGTGGGAACACCTCAGGCAACGTCGCCAAGTTTTGCACGAGGCGTTAGGACGCAAGTCCTGGGGAAGCCCCGAATGCGCGGGAACACCCCAGGCACAAGTCGCCACGTTTTGCAGCATTGACGCACATAGCGATCGCACGCACAAAGCTCAGCGGTACCAGCCAGACGACATGCGACCTCTACGACCACCAACTACAACCAGCCAGCCGCCACCAGCGACCCAAAGTACGGCCCACCACACCACAGTACAAGTCAACGCTGCCCTGGTGAGGCAAGGATCAAACTTCTAGACGGGCTCGAAGGGTGGGGGGGCAGGACGAGTACTGCCCGCGCCTACCAGGGGGGATGGTGAGGGGCAGGGGGGGGGGTAGGACGCAACTACCCGCGCCCCCGCGGTCCGCCCTAGCTCGCCACCCCCACCATCCCCATGGCGGAGACGGAGCTTACCCGAGCGCCCACTGGGCGAAGCATAGGGCAGCCGAGACATTCCTCATCGACAACAGAAGAATCACTGGGCCTGGGGTTCGCCCCCACCGAGGGCACTGTGACCCCTAGCCATAGCGGGACGAGGTGGGGCCGCCACGAACCCCACTTGAAGTCGGTGCATGGAGGCCCTAAGTGCGCCCACAACCTATTCCACAACACCAACAACAAGCCGACCTCCCAACGACCCACATATACCAGTACGACAAGCACCTCAGCGACTGAGTCGAGTACCACGAGTTCGAGCGCCACAGAGTCAAGCAGTACCACTTCGACCAGTACGACCGAGCCCAGTACCAAAGAGCTTAGCATCA